CTTTTGCAATTAATAAAATAGATAAGATGTGACTGACTTATTTGACCTAATAATAATCCACTTGATTTGAGTAAGCAGAATGATTACATTCTAGCAGTGTTTCTCAACCTTGGCAGCTTGAAGATGTGTGGGCTTCAACTCCCAGAGTTCCCCAGCCAGAAAATACTTAACATTTAGATATTTATCTAATAATATCTGGCTGGGGAATTCTGGAAGTTGAAGTCCATGCATCTTCAAGTTGCCAAGATTGAGAAACACTGCATTATAGACTGGGGACACCTCCGCTTCTTTCCAAGGGGGCTTCATTGCAGCCCCTCTCCACAAGAAAGGCTGTACATTTGCAATTATCCAAAGTCACATTATGTTTTTAGTTCTATAAGAAGAATCATCATTATAAATGCACGCACTTATAGCCCAGTCAGAGGAGAGGCCTTCCTATCAACGACCCCCCCCCCCCGCCCACACACACACGCTACTGCCTCCGCCCCGCCGCAAGTCCTTCCTCCCGTCCAAGTAACTAAACTTTCCAGATAACGATTGCTACAAGCAGCAGAGCTTTCTCTCACCCTCATAGTGGAGGTCCCAGAGCACCAACAGCAAAGGAAGCACCGAGCCAAGCTTGTTAATACAAGTCTGAGGAGACAACATGACTTCCCGCCGACTCACGCGCGCGAGCTCCAGACTCACTGGTAAGTTTACCTCGGAACTCTGAAACTTTCAACTTTCTAAACTAGGTTCCCCGGGGTGGGTCGTGGGATCCGCTGATTGGCTGACATCTCCGCCGTCCTGCCTCTTGCTAGGGGAACGTGGAAGGCAGGAGAGACTACTGTCAACAGTCCCCGCCCTCTTTTGCTTCAGAATGCGTATTAAGGGCAAATGAAGCTAAGCTGACGTAACAGCGCCCTCACTTTGTTAGGAGTTTATTCCTGCTCATTTACGACTCTATGAGACGCGATAGATGAACGACATTTCCGACTGGAAAAATCTCCACGGGATTATATTTTAAAAAGTTCCCCAAAACAAGAAACCCTTTGAATTTCACAGGATTCTTCTCGTGACTGTGCGCAAGGAAAACACTGAAAACCATATTGAAGCCCACAGCAGGCTGTTAACCTGGGAAACAACTGTTTGCTTACTCAAATTAGGTGGATTATTATTAGGTCAAATAAGTCAGTCACATCTTATCTATTTTATTAATTGCAAAAGATTGAATTATACAACTAATGCTGCAACCCTTCACAAACTTATTTGTAAGTAAGCCCCATGGAGGATAAAACAGGTCTTATCGCTGAATAATCGTCTCCATTGCATTGTGTTTTAATTATGTGGAATGGAATTAAACTTCAAACAAAAATCAAATGTATGTCATCCTGTTCTTTACTATTTTATTAAAATCTGAAGAGTATCTTTTGATACTTGTCTGTTAGCAAAAGTTACTGAAAGACCGGTTCTGCTAACCTTAAAAGCATAGGCTTAACATTTGTTGGCCAACAAAAATAGCTCTGCAATAGGGCAGGTTTCTATCACAGGGGGAAGGCAAGGGGAAGGTATTGCCTTGAGATTCTTTCTGAAATGAAATGAAATCAAATAATATAGGCTGTATTCTGACTGAATTATAGGTTTGAAAGACAGCAATAATTTTGTCCATGTAATGTCATTTAAGGGAAAAAATCAGTCAAAAGTATGACAACAACTAATGCTGCTTCAATTTTTAAAAAAAGGCAAGATTCCCTCAGGTCATGCTTGACTCCTGGTGACTTCATGGCCATGACCAGGTAGTTTGTTGGCAGAAGGACAGAAACAGCTTGTGATCGCTTCCTTTCCAGACTTTTTTTAAAGCCTCCCAGTCCACAACTTTTTAGAGTTTCAGGTGGGTTTCCATCCAAGGACTAACTGGATCTGTGTAACCCTGCTTAGCTTTTGGAAGATCAGCCAAGGTCAGGTGGCTGTTCTAGGAATAATACTAACAGAAAGATGTCGTGTTTGACATGTGATGGTTTTGTTGGCTTATCTTCATGCATGGATTAATTGAGGCATGTAATTTGACCAGGGGTGCCTGGACCTTTAAATACAATTGTATTTTCTGTGACCACATGCTTAGGATATCATTTTGCACAAAACAGGTAAGTCACTGCATTTAACAACTTGGCTTATGCCAGTCTCAATTGCTGTCATAACCTGAGGACTACCTGTAGTCCTTAATAGTTCAATGTCAACATGTCAACACAAAGGGAAGCATCCAGCGGGATACCTCAGGGTTCTGCCCCAGGCCCAATGCTGCAGCTGCTGCTGCTGCTGCTGCTGCTGCTGCTGATGATGATTATTATTATTATTATTATTATTATTATTATTATTATTATTAT